TTTGAGCTGCATTAAAAAAATGGCAACCAAATTTATATCAAGATAATTTTTTGATGGTTTATTTAACCCTTTCCGTGGCTTTGTCGAATATATTCGACATTACAATAGACTCTGTTTTTAAGCATTTTTTGGGTATAATATTTAACTTTAGTTTTAATTTTTTTCTTTTAGATGAAAATGAAGACTTTATTATATTTATAGTTGAGATTTTGAAAGATCTTCCGTATTTTAAAAGTATTTAAAAATCAGATTTTAAGAAATTGTCACTTATGACTACTTTTTAAAAAGTGCTTTTTAGCAACGTTTGAAAACAGCTTCACTTAATGGCCAAAAAATTGTATTTTAGGAGATCGGAATTATCAAATTATCTTAAATATAAGTTTTCAAGTTTTTTTTCTAGACATAAATTATTTTTGACCCTGAAAGGGTTAACTTATTGCAGATTTTTATTGTTTTCTCGATTTAACAATAAATTGTTATTTTATATTTTTGATATAAAACTCGATTTGTTATATAAATAGAGTTATTTGAGTTATATAAATTTTAATTTATAAATATAAATTTTAAGGGGAGATATAAATGATTTTCTAGATGGATTTGTAGATTTAAGTTTAAAATTCGAATTTTTGTGAAAAATGTAATATGAATATATTATTTACCCTATTTCAGGAGCGTTCTTGTTCAGTACTGCATACAAAAGTGACATCGTATACATTCATTCAAGATATAATATAGTTACAGTTTTTTTGATCAGTAGTGCTTACAAAAGTAGCATCGTAGACATTCATTCAAGATCTAATATAGTTTATAGTTTTCTCGATCGTAGGAAACTACATCCGGTTCTCTTTTAAAATTGTTAGTTTCTAAGGCTATACAGCAGATTATAGGTTTTGAAATAAAAATAGTTTACCGGTGGAAAATATAAGTGATGGGAGTAATATATACAGATCTACAACAATATAACTTTGATAAAAAATTTTCATATGCTATTTTCTCGATAGTAGTAAACTACATCCGATTCTGTTTCAAAATAGTTTTTTTTAGGATATACAGCGGATTACAGGTTTTGGAATAAGAATAGTTTTCGCGTGGAAAATATAAGTGATTTGATATATAGATATCGATATATCGATTTTTGATAATAAAGTAAATTGATTACAGATTTTTATTTTAAAGAAACATTTTAGAGTTTTCAAATAAAAATACATTTTTGATTAAAATTTTAACTACTTAAATAATAATTCTCATATACTATAAGAAATATATATCATGAACATATAAATGTAACAAAAAAATGAACGGAAAAAGGGCATTGCATTTCTTTAAGATCATAACAGGCCCGAAATTAGTGGTATAGATGTATTTATTCGGATTTGATGTATTAAACATTCTCTTCCTCAAACTAACCTAACCTTCCACGATAGAACTGTTGTCATGCAAAATTTCACGAAGCATAAAATCCAGATCAAAAAGTTGATTCCAAAAATACACTGTCTGTTGCCAAATTTCGTGAAAATTGGTTCATGTTTTTTATATTTAGCCTAGAAATTTGGTGTTATAACTGTTATTATAAAATCTATATAATAATGAAAGAGTCTCATATATATTTAAAAAAAAAAAAAAAAAAAAAAGACACTTACACATGGGAGATGCCACTCAAATTTTTGCCAGTTCGCCAACTTTTCTGAACGCTAATAAGGATTTTAATGTAAGCTATGGAAAATGTAAATAATATTGTATTTAATTCATATGGGAGGGGCCAATCCCCCATTGAAATTCCGCCCATTTTTCTCTAAATGTTCACATGAATGTCAAAGTTCTTCATGTAAAATTTGAAAATTCTAGCTTCTACAGTATCTAAGAAATACAAATTTTTCTACATAATTCATATGGGTGTTCCAAGCCACCCCCTAATGAAAGTCCGCTTTTTTTCCCCAAAATGTTGAGATGAATATGAAAATCCTTTTTCCAAAATTTCAGAAATCTAGTTCTATTAGTTTCTTAGATAAAATATTTTGATGTATTTAATTCATATGGGAGGTGCCGCTCCCCCCATTGGTAGTCCGCCAATTTATTACCCAAAATATTTACATGGATGCTAAAGTTTTTCGTGCAAAATTTGTTGCTGCTAGTCCGCCCACTTTTTATCCTAACTAATCATATTGAGACTTATGTGGCTCCGACCAAATTTGAGGGCTCTAACTGTTACATTTTCCGAGATATACTGATTTAATATTTTTTTTTAATATGGAAGGTGCCACGCCCACTATAGTTATTATGCCCATTTTGTCCAAAAATATTCTTATGAATGTCAAAGTTGTCCGTGCAAAATTTGAGGACTCTAATTGTACCAGCTTCCAAGATATATGACTTTTAATAGTTATTTAATAAGTAGGCGTGGCACCTCGCCTACTTGCAATTTTAAAATAAAGAATAGCCTATAGTTCCTTCCAGATATATAGCAAGGTACTGTTAAAATTTCAAGAAAATCGGTCCAGCCGTTTAGCCGTCTATAGACTTCAAACAAACAAACAAACAAACCCACAAACAAACCTACAAACAAATAAACACACATTCATTTTTATATATATAGAAGAAGATAGATACGTTTTGAAGATATAATGTGTCGTAGTGTTCATTCCACAACATTTATTATAACAGATTTCATGAAAATCGTATTAGTAATTTTTTGTATGCTTGAACGTAATTTTGGTACAATATTTTATAGTTCCTCCTCAGGTCAGACCTATAGGTATACCCAATTTCATGTAAAGCGGTTCAGTAGTTTTCTGTAAGTCTCGAATGAAAATTGTGTGTAACAATTATATAGAAATAATTGAGCATAAGAAGAATCGTGACGTCCAATCATGATTTTATATAGTCTATTGTTCCACTTTAGAATAGAATTGTTACTGTTCATGTAAATCGGTTCAATAGTTTGGTCGTGAAAGCGTAACAAACAGACTCTCTTCATATAATTATAGGATAGGATATAAATAAGGATCGTTTTATAAAAAGTGGGCGTAGAAGGGGGTGGCATCGGATCAAGACCTTACATATAGCCTATAGTTCTTTCCGAGCTTATACCTATCGGTATGTAATATCATGTAAATCGGTTTAGTAGTTTTTGCATATTGTGATTGCAAAATTGGTGTAATAATAGTTTTTCGAAAAGTGGGCGTAAAAAAGGGCGTGGCATCCGTTCATCATCTTATATAGCCTATTGTTCCTTTTGGGATTAGACCTATTAGCGGTCCAAATTACATGTAAATCGGATGTTGTTGTTGCCGCAATTGTTGTCTAGTGTTGAAAATATATGGTATAGGAGATTGAAGGGGAAACCAGCGCGCCCGGCGTGCATTTAAAATAAAAGAAATCAAATAAATTTTAATTATATAAACAAATTTAAATGAGCAACAACACCATAATGGTTTTATTCCATTCCTTACATCGAAATAAAGCCATATGGCCTTATTTCTTATTAAATTGAGATACATATAAGGCCATATGGCATTATTGCCTATGGCTGCACCTTTATTTAGATTGTTTAGATGATGCTGTATACCAGTTTTTATATTACCGTCTTAAATTCTTCATTTTGGTAAATTTGTCCGCTAATTTAGATAGAATACGTTTGCAAAGGTAAATGTCGCTGATGTTATGGATGTAATGCTAACATCCGCTGCATGGTATTATAATTGGTTAAATACACCCTTTAAAGTCTCTAAACTCAAATTTCGAACAAAATCTTAAATTCTGTACATAAAATGGGAAGAAATTTCAATATAAAAATTGTTTTCCAAAAAGTCCTAGTGGAGTTTTTTGAATTGCGCTAAAACGCGTTAAAAATTTGGTTATTTTTCAAAATACATATTAATTACATTAGTTCCGAAAAGATACATATTTTATACAGCCAATACAGCCAATTTAACCTTTTTTTTTTTTTTGTTTTTTTGAAAACTTTGTTAAAACCCACATATGTAGTACTAATATTCAAAACAGGGACGATGTATGGTAAAATAATGAATATGAAGGTTCTACGCCGATTTGTACATATTTTTTTGAAGAGTTTCTAATATCCCGAACTTTTTTCATTAACGGGAATTGATTTAAAAAATTGCCTGCAAGAATTTTAAAGAAATATAGTATGTTTTAAAAATTTCATCTAATTTTTTTCCTATTATATGTTACGGTAAATTGGACATTCATTATAGCCCACACCACCATAATGGGGAGGGTATTATACTTTTGTGCTGATGTTTGTAACGCACAAAAATATTGGCCCTACATCCACCTTAAAGTATACCGATCGACTCAGAATCACTTTCTGAGTCACCTTTCACCTAGCCCCCATACAACCCTACCCCCCGAAAAGGGCTTTTGAGTTCATAATTATGTTAAATATTGTAGTATCTCTACAAAAATCGGCAAAACTTAGTTTTATATACGTCTTAATAATACTACCGATTTTCGTAATTATCGGACTTTATTTGACCCTAGCCCCCATACAAAGTCCCCTTCAGAAAATGACTGGAAGGTCAATAATTCACTAATAAACACTAGTATCACGATCACTAGATCCAACATATAGAACTCTAATGTAAACGTAAAGCCATGTACCAAAATTTATAAGGATATGCCCATATTTACCCTTGACCCCATATAACCCCTCTTTTAGAAAATCACTTTTTTCAACAAATTGTTAATATATTTCGGAATTAAGGTAAACAACTTAAATGCTTTGTTATTAAAAATAATTCACATTTTTAACATACTCAGTGGTGTAGGGTATCATATGGTCCGCCATGCCCGACTATACTTTCCTACTTGTTTTTAAAATATTTAATGTTAAAAGTTATGCATTGATTTCAAAAATATTTGGTGTTAATGCAAATTTAATGCATTAAATGTGCCTAAATTAACGGTACTATATTTCATTAAAATTCTTGCATATTTTGTATTTCTCCCAGGTCTGTTCAATATCATATCATTAGTTTTACCTGCCATCCTTGTAATAAAAGGCTTCTATCCACTGTTCTGAGCCACATGACAGCGTCGCCAGCTTCAAAATTCCGCAATTTTTTACAACGGTAATGTAAAAATATTCCCAAGCATTTAAGTAATTCGGAAGTTGAAGCCTGAAATATGTAATCAAAATAAATAAAAGGCCATTTTAGAATAGCACATATACACATACTTATATTAATTAGACATACATACATATATGACTTTAGTATACAATTCTATAGGTAAGTTATATACATACAGTGGTAGAAAAAATAATAGAAACGACCTTATTTTGGGGTAAAAACTAAATTTTCTCAAAAACTAACCGCTAGAATTTGATGATTAGTACCTCAAATAAAAGATATTTAACTCATATTTTATATGATACTAGCTATACCCAGTGTGCTTTGCTACCCTAAAAGGAATATGTATAAGTAAACACCAGATTTATTACATGTTACATATGAAAGATGTCAAGCAAATTATTGCAAGTTCGCCAGTTTCTATCTATCGCCAATTTCTATCTATCTATAAAAAATTTGAATAATATAAGAGTTTCCAAGATGCACGAAATTTTGTATTTAATTCATATATGTTGTGCCAAGCCACCCATTGAAAGTCCGCCCGTTATACTCTAAATGTTCACATGAATTTCAAAGTTCTCCATGTAAAATTTGAAGATTCTAGCTCTAATAGTTTCTCAGATATACGAATTTTTCTATTTGATTCATGTGGGGGCTTCAAGACACCACCCCCCCCCCCCCGATGAAAGTCCGCTTTTTTTTTCCTCCAAAATGTTCAGATGAATATTTAAGTTCTTCGTGCAAAATTTGAATTTAGTTCCATTAGTTTTCCAGATAAACGAATTTTTGTCTTTAATTAATATGGGAGGTGCCGCTCCCCTCATGGGTAGTCCGCCAATTTATTACCGAAAATGTTTAGATGGATGTTAAAGTTTTTCGTGCAATATTTGAAGATTCTAACTGTAATAGTTTCCAAGATAAACGTATTTTTGAATTTAATTTATATGGGAGGTGCCACGCCCCCTAATGATAGTCCGCCTACTTTTTGTCCTAAATAATTATATTGACGCTAAAGTTGCTCCGACAAAATTTGAGTACTCTAACTGTTTGTTATATTATATAAAATATACGGATTTAATATTTTCTTAATATAGGCGTGGCTCCTCGCCCACTTGGAATTTCAAAATAAAAAGTAGCCTATTACCTATTCCAGACATATCGGTTCAGCCGTTTAGTAGTCTATAACGTTCAAACATACAAACATATAAACATACAAACAAACACACATTCATTTTTATATATATATATATATATATTTTATAGATTTTCTTGCTTCATCGCATTTTATTGATATTCAAAAAAATTGGCATTGGAAAAAATAATAGAAACGGTTCATAGTATTGCATAGGAGACATAAGGTAAGATTTTTTTAACGGATTTTTTATTTAATTTTGAAATTTTTAATTATTAATGAAGTTCTTTACATAAAGATTTACTTTTTACTCTGTTTTTATACCGTTCACCTTTGTGAGAAGGGTATATATAAGTTTGTCATTATAATTTTCCGACCCTATAAAGTATATATATTCTGAATCCTTATAGATAGCGGAGTCGATTAAGCCATGTCCGTCTGTCTGTCCGTCCGTCTGTCTGTCTGTCTGTCTGTCTGTCCGTCTGTCTGTCTGTTGAAATCAGTTTTCTGAAGACCCCAGATATCTTCGGGATCCAAATCTTCATTAATTCTATCAGACATGCTTTCGAGAAGTTTCCTATTTAAAATCAGCAAAATCCGTCCATAAACATCGGAGATATAAGCAAAAATCTGAGACAACCTCTGAAAATTTCATAAAAAATAAACAACAACAACACTGCTTATTCATTGCCTTTGTAGTTTGTTTTTGTTTTTTTGAGTATTTCGTTTCGTATGTTTGGATGGCTGTGTGTTTCATTGCCTTGTGTATATTGTTTTCGTTTCTTGGTACATTCAATTTCGGATGTTTGGATGGCTGTGTGTTTCATTGCCTTGTGTATATTGTTTTTGTTTTCTTGGTGTATTGAATTTCGTATGTTTGGATGTCTGTTGGTTTCATTGCGTTGTGTATTTTGTTTTTTTCTGTACTTCGTTTCGTATGTTTGGATGTCTGTTGGTTTTACTGCCTTGTGTATTTTTTTTTTTTTGTGTGTTTATTTCGTTTAGCGTTGTTGTTGTTCTTTATGTTTTGCTATTGCTATAATAATGATATAGTCGGGAAAATTAATTTTTAAATACACTATGGTGAAGGGTATATAAGATTCGGCACAGCCGAATATAGCACTCTTACTTGTTTATGATAAAATTTGATTTTTTACTGTTTAATTTACCATATGGTTCCTGATAGCTGATTCAGGGGTTCCACATTCAAAATTTCGTAAATAAAATAAACAGATAATGGAAAAATTGAAATTTATGTTGAAATTTATGTAAAATTAGTTTTTGTGAAGATTTTCAGCCGAAAATGTTTTAGATCCACCAATAGATAATAGGTAATCCACCGATTTTTGGCCCGAATTTCGACCAATATTTAAATTTTTTGCAATTTAACCCGCTACAGGAGGTTTAAAAGTGAGTTAAATATCACAGTATTTTAACAAACAGGAAAAATTATTTAAAGCTAAGATAGATTTAACACGAGAAGTTCAAAAAACTTAAAAAATTTTATAATTAGTCTTGATTTTTAGATAGATAAATGAATAGGAATTAATACTAGTATAGAAACTATATGATCTAACCCAAAAAATAAAAAAGAATATTTTAAAATGAGTAAAACAAAATATGTTTTTTATTTTTTTTTTTTTACCTTTTCTAACGTCTTATACGTTTATTTTGTGATAAAATACGAAGAAATATTATTTTTGATGTTTTAATATAATGGGGCACATTTTATCTAAACTTACTTTTCTTATTAAAAACTAATTTTATATAAAATTTAATAATGAAAGTAATTTCTTTCACTATCTGTTCATTTTATTTAAGAAATTTTGAATGTGGGTCCCCTGAATCAGCTGTCAGGAACCATGTAATAAATTAAGCGATGAAAAAACGATCGTTATCATAGAAAACAAAGTAAAACTTATATTTTTATATTAAGAACTTCATTTATAATTAAAATGTTCAAAATTAAATACAAAAGCTCCTTTTATGATATCTAAGCTTATGCCCCATTGCAATACTATGAATCGTTTCTATTATTTTTTCCATAGTCATATTTTTTTAATAACAATAAAATACAATGGTGCAAAAAATCTATAAAATAAATATATCATATGAAAGAAGTATCTTTTATTTGAGATACTAATCATTAAATTCTAACTGGTAGTTTTTGAGAAAATTGTGTTTTCAACACAAAATAAAGTCGTTTCTATTATTTTTTCCACCACTGTATGTACATATAAAAACTTAAAAAAAATTCAAAACTTGAGTTTATCATTCGTATATGAATAATATAGATTAGTGTTATAAAATTTTTAGGGCGGCAAAATACCACAGCACTAACTTATAACCAATACTGCCCTAATAACAAAAGGCTATATTCGGCTCAGAATCATTTTCTGAGTCGATTAGGTATGTCCGTCCGTCCATGTAAACCTTGTAATCAGACTACAGGTAGCAATTTTGAAGATAATTCAATGAAATTTGGTACATGATATTCTATTGCCTATTGAAAATGGTTAAGATCGGTCCATTATTTCACCTGCCCCCCATACAACTGTACCCCGAATAGGGCTTGTAAACATTGTAATCAAACTACAGGTCGCAATTTTGGAGATAATTCAATGAAATTTGGCACATGATCTTCTATGGTACCGTAGACGAAGCCTATTGAAAATGGTTAACATCGGTCAATTATTTTACCTAGCCCCCATACAACTGAACCCCCGAATAGAGCTTGTAAACCTTGTAATCAAACTACAGGTCGCAATTTTGGAGATAATCTAATGAAATTTGGCACATGATCTTTTATGGTACTGTAGACGAAGCCTCATTTGATCCTAGCCCCTATAAAAAGCCCCCATCCCCCAATTTTACTTAAATATCCACAGTTTTATTAAACAATAAATGGCTTAAGTATATCTGAGACAAGGTACAATTCAACTTAATTACTTTATTATGAAAACTGAATTACATTTAATTCGTATACAGGTGTAGGGTATTATAAGGTCGGCCTCGCCCGACTATAACTTCTTACTTGTTTTTTAAGTAAATTTGGTGAAAAAACTATTCACACCGAAAGCAATTTCTAAAATGTATTTGTTCGTTATTTTTACTTAAAACATTTTAATAATTTTCATATAAATGTATACTACAAAGTATAACAAGTAGTCCGACTCTTTGACAGGAGTACTCTAAGCATGTGTTAGTGAAAAAGTACCTAACTCTAAATATGTGTTAGTAACAAATATGTATTTGTATTGGTGCATTCTAAACACACAGAGTTTTATAAAAAATTACAATTTTAAATTTATTTGAAATTTCAAAACCAAAAATTGAAACTCTGTTTGTAAAATAAAATTCAACAACAACAAAAATTAAATGTCAATAATTAAACAAATTTTTTTTTTTCAGTTCAAGAAAATTAAACAAAATTCTAAACCAAAAGTGGGTTAAAACTATTTTAAAAAATTGCAGTTTTTTTGTGGATAACTGCAATTTCGCGTACGATTCTTGAAAGTGGCCAAAAAAGTAAGTTAATCATTTGAATGTTTTGACAAGTTCAAATTTCTCACAAGAGAGTCGAATTCACACGGCACTTGTAGATGTGAGAGAGTAATTTCCTATATGTGAGAGTCGGACTACTTGTTATACTTTGGTATACTATTATCTTTAATATGGAATATTATGGAGATTTATTTAAAATTACATTACAGGGCTTTAAAGATCAATATTCTCTTTAAGATAATGTAATAAAGATGCAAAATTATTGGCAAAAAATTAATTTTTCTCATTTAGAAATATTAATATTTAAACAAAACTACGACGCCTTTGGTGCGGGAACTTTTTTCACGATTGCGAAAAAAATAATATATTATTCCTTAACATTTATCCACGCCCTACAAGACCTTGCTATGGT